ATGCACACATGATTAATTTATAAATGAAAAATAGCTAAATCCACAAATTCCTGAAATTTTTTATGCCGAAAATGTGCGAAAAAATTAAATCTTGAATAAAGCAACTTATTTTATTTATTATTTTTTTTTATTATTATTCTTTTCTTTTTTTTATTTTGACGCCGAAGGAAGAATTCATAGGTGGGAAAATATTTCATGCTCATAATAAGCAATTAGTTTAAGTACGATTTTATTCAGATACGTATATGTATATTAAGAATTATAGAAATTTTAAATACTTGTAGTTTAAAATAAAATATATTTCGATGGAAAATTGTGTTTTTACGTTCATCTGTACAAGCACTCGAATGCAAACAAATTATTTATGCTAGGAATGATATTTTGATAAAAGGAATTTCTAAGGTTTGAAACACGTGCAATGCGTTTAAGAGAAAGTAAACTTAATTTTGTTTTCATTTTCAGTGCATATGCATTTTTTCTTCAATGTGAATCTAGTGACATAATCAATGAATTCTCGAAAGAAATGAACTGAGATTTTTAGAATACCTTACTATTTTAACGTCAACGTCCTTTCTTAACTTCCAAACTTTTGAGTAACTGTAAAATGAAAAATATTTTCAATTTTCATTTTACTTATATTTAAACGAAAAAAAAAAAAACACAACGATCGAGCTTTATCCAGAAACGGTAAAAATAATTTTTCAGCTGGCACATCAAGTTTTTTGCTTTTTGAAGCTGAAAAATTAAGCTTTTTTTATCATTATTTGCATTTGCTGCAAACGATATTTCATTTAATGAAAATCGATGGTAATTAGTCACTTATCTTAAATGTTTAAAAAGGAAAAGTGATTTCTTAAAGAATATTTAACCTTTATTACGATACTTATGAGCGAAAAAACGACGATTTAATTATTCTGCAAAATTGGGTAATTCAGCAATATAGCTCAGAAGTTTATTCAAAATTTATAGCCAATCCTGTAGGTGAATTTAAGATAGGGCTGAGCAGTATATTGTCTTTTACTGCTTGTTAATTTACGGCTTAAGTATGCATCAGAACCGCTTAGATAATTTTAAATGCCAGAATAAATTATGAAAAAGTTAGTTTCTAAATTTTTGCATAATTCGATTTTCATCCTGCCTTTTCTCCATTTTTTACTTGTTTTATTCAACACTATCAAATGAACAATTATGTTTCTTTGTTCTACATGTGAATTTAAGACAATTTGAAATTCGTGTATTTTCGAAAGAAAGCCACAACATTTTTACGTAAATCTTTAAGTCCTTATGTTAATAAACCGATTATTGTTTTGGCTTTACTTTCCCCTTTATGAACTTTCACTAGAAGATGATTTGGTTAAAATATAAAAGCTTAACTAAGCTCAGAGTTCCTGAGTTTTTAAACAGAGCGCATGGCAGTTTAGGTTGTCATTTTACCCTTGGCAGCTTAGTTTAAGACATATCATTGGCAGCATAAGCCCTGTTTAGCGTCGCTGCTATTGCTATATTTATCTTATCTGCTTAAGCTTCTGTTAGCCGTTATTGCTTCGCAAACCTAGTTTTTATAGGGGCTATTGATTTTGAATTTACAATTCAATTCAATTTGAGCATACGACTTCCTGAAATTCAGAGACTTCAGTTTATGTTAAACTTTTGAGTTTGTGTAACCGTCAGGTCTCAGGTCGAAATGTTAAGAAATTAGTTTTATTTTAATCTTCTGCTTAAGTTTAAAGGCAAATGGGACGATAAGCAGACTAACCTTAATGGTAACTTGAGATGAGTTTGGTAGTTTAAAGAAACAGAATAAACATATAAATCAAATTAAATATTCTTTAATTTTATTTTGGTATTAGAACTAATATTGAACACAAGAGATAGTTTCAATTTAAAAAATATTTTTCGTTTTAATAGAAACCAGTCATATTATTACCAACATATTTGAAAAATCTGAACATTTTCACTTCCAATAAAAACATGGAATCGAATTACATGCAATATTAATTGTTACAAGATTAGACATAAAATTGTTTACTATAAACACAGTGACTTAAGTACATAAATTAAGAAATAATGGATTCAACCATTTTCTTTAGTCAAAACAAGAGAGAACACTCGGCCTAAGCTCAGTACCAGTTGTCCACGTCCCACAGGCCAAATTCGATTGTTAAAGGGCGGGACTCGAAAATGGACTCGTCCAGGGTTTAAGAGGACAAAAGACGTTCAAATGTCATTTTTATTCCCAAAAATAAAGAATAGTGTAAGTAATGTATGCGTAAAAATGTTTAAAGTGCGGTGCATTTTAAATATTTTATAAAGAATTTTCGCTGTGGACATGGACATTTAGAATGTTTTTAAAGGGCATGTAACTAACTGACACATTACGCTTTCTAGATCTGTTTCGCACATGTCAGCCAACGAAATCAGTTTATTTTTTACTGTAGAAACAGCAACATGTATATTATTCTTCTCTTGAATGTCAATAGTAGCTGCTTTTATTATACTTTCCTTGAATGGCAATAGTACATGCTTTTATTATACTTCCCTTGAATGGCAATAGTACGTGCTTTTATTATACTTCCCTTGAATGGCAATAGCAGCTGCTTTAGCGGTGCGACGAATTTTTTAATTGATCTTATACTTCTTTCTTTCAGCCCTTAGTGAAATGAGTGGTGCAAGCAAGACAAAAGTTCGTCAGATTCAGAGGAATATTTAAAATTTTGTTTTCTGCCTGCTATACACAATGAATGGTTACTTTTTTGTCTTTTATGCTAACAATGCGTGACAAACGAATCAAAGAAATGAGATTATCTTGAGACAAATTTGAGGGCGAAACTTAATGCTCTGAATTATTTTCAAACTTTGAAGAAAATTTCTGAAGAAACGGCAACATTAAACTCTCTATTTACTGCTCATAATGCAGTAAATAGATAGTTTAATGTTACTCTTTTTCAAAATTTCTTCTTTAATTAAGTTAAATTAGTAACTTCAGTTTCTTTAAAGTAATTTTTTAAAATTAAGTTCTTTAAATGTAGTTGTTAATCATACATACTCTTCACGCTAGTTATCAAACTTGAACACTAATCGTTAAATCTTGGAAAAATCATACTAAAGGAGATAATTTGGATGAATCAACTTTGAGAGACACCGAGGCCGTATTTACAACTTAGGTAAGATTTATTGATAAAGGTTATTTTAGCAAATAAATGCTATTCTGTAAATCATTAGAAAACACCAATCCCTCCAAAAATATTTATAGTAAGCTAAAAATTACTTAGAGGTAAAAAATATGACAATAAAAAACATATGGGGAAGAAAAACGTTTTGCATAAAACTGTTGGATGAGAATTCAGAAATGCTTCTTGTGCATTGTGTTATTCAAAAGGGAAAACCTGGTATCTAGAAACATTTCGCCTGTTCTAAATGAAGTACTGAATTCAGTTATAAAGTGTATCAATGCTAGTAAAGATAGTACCAAATGTGAACTTCTCTTCAAGTTATTTTGTGAAGAACAAAAAGATGGTTGTCGAAAGGGAACTGCTTGGAAAGATTTATGGAAATATTTGATACTCTAAAGTTATTTTTAAGTGAAAAACCTGAAATGAAAAATTTGTTAAAGGCTGACGGTAAGGCATTTGTGAGTTATTTAGCCAATATCATTCAAAAACTAAATATATTAAACGAACAAGGCATATATTTACAAAAAAAAAAAAAAAAGTTTCATTGACTTCATTAATGCGAAGTGACTGATACCGTATACATAATATTGTTAATCATCTGAAAATTTTATCGGCTGATTTAAAAGAAAGATTTTCTGATTTCCCAACTTGGATGATGCAGCTAATGTTAATGGATTTGGCTGATATTTTAAATACGTAATATCAAGAACTCGCAGGAATGCAAAATGATGAGTCATTAAACTTCGTTAATATAAAATGGACCTGTGGGAAATCGTATCAATATCTAATCAAACAATGCAACAAATGTGAGAGAACTATTGTTACCTTTTCGTCTTATATTAGTGAATACGGATTTATGAGAAAACACTTTGCTGCTTAAAAAAAAAAAAAATAAAAATAAAAAAAACGGCTGGATGTAATAAAACGGGGAGACTTGAGACTAAAGTTCGAACCTGACATAAAATCTGTTTGCAGCAAGCATCAAGCGCAAGCATCCCACTAAATTCAAATAATAAATAATTACCAATACTTAAAATAATATAGAAGAAATTCATTAAAATGATTTTGCACTTGAATTCCAGTTCTCCAATATATGTTTTGAAAGTTTACTTAGTGAGTTTGCTCACAAAATTTCCTAGTGATTTCTTTTTAAAACCTAGCAATTCAAATTTCTTTCTTGAACATTTCAGTTTTTAAAAATAAAAAATTATGTATATTCTAAGGGAAGCATAGGAATTTTAGAGAGGATTAGATGGGGCATAGCACAAAAAATGTTGGAAAACACTGGCCTAGAGCAATCTAATGCATGGAATCCAAGGTTGATGTGTTCCGAATATCCCTACTTCAAACGGAAGAAAAAGAAATATTCTGGTCGTCAAGTTTTTAATGTGTAACATTTTGAAATTATATTGCAGTTACGAATGTACATTATTCATCAACGAAAAATAAATTAAACAAATACATACATGCTAATAACAAAGAGAGAGGAAATCATAAGACGGGCATAAATATAAACATGCCTAAGACTGAAAATTTTGCAGATTATCCTTGACAAATATATTTACATTTGCACACAATTGGCATTTTTTAGAGGATAATATCAAGCATAAATAAATTATCACTTTCTTGAATAGTAAGTTAATTATTCTGAAACAAAAAATCAAAATTAGTGCAAAATTAAAAACACAACATAAATATAAATTTAGATACTAAACCGTTCAACGTTTTGTAAAGATAACATTCAATAATATTTAGTTATTAAAATCTAAGAAGAAAATAGAATTTAAGTGACTTAAAAACGACAGTGATTCCAATGCTAAATCTCACCTGCCTTGTTGAGACGGGTTCAATGCAAGCATATGGTTCAGCATAGTCTCCTTTATTTCCTTTAAAAAGTAACACATATATAGACTCTAATAAGAGATAAAATTTATGCACAAGCAAGTACACTAATGATTAAAATCTAAAATTGTAGGTAATCTAAGGGATAGCAAACAGATTAAATGTGCAAACATTTTATCAAACGTAACTTGTATCCTTTCAGAAAAATAATAATCGATACCAAGGACGGATTCATTCATGCTTAAAAGGAATTAAAGCACTTATCCTTTTTTTCTTTTCTGTAACAGTTAATGGTTCATAAGAAAGTTAATTGCATTGATTTAGACCATAAAAAGAAATATAGTAATCACAGATTTTATAGATAATCAAAGTTATTTTTTTTTTTCAGAAACGACAACTGGGAAGTGCTTAGAATCATAATAGAAAATTAGACAAAAATTTAATAAATTAAGAAAGTTAAAAATACTAGAAAATAGAAACTCATAGTACATTATAAAATTATCTCGAGAAAAAGCAACCGTTTAAAATAGCTGCAAACTTGAAAATTTGATCATCTTCCCTAGGCAATTGTGTCTCAAAGAA